CGCCCGGCGGTCCGCGGAGCCGCGGCCGTGCGTGCCCGCGCTTGCTCCCGAGCCGTTCCCCGACCTCGAGTCTCCTCCGTCTCTCCTTGCGCTATTGTGCACCGATCATAATATCAGTCTTTCTTATGTCCCAGAGGGTGGCGAGGATTAATGAATGTTGAGAAAGTGCTTGGAAATCCAGATAAAAGGCATTACAGGAGGGCAAAGCATTCAAGGTTATTATTATTACCTGGATCGTAGTGCAATTTCTTTGGCCTCACAGGGTGCAAAAACATTTATTTCTAAGGATAAACAGCGCCTGCCCAATTATACCATGCTTTCAGGCTTTAACTACAGGCCACTAAGTGAGATAATTGCCTGGTATTTGTATTATATGTTCCCAGTGTTACTTGGCAATACATCTCCCAGATGGCTCTGGTAGAAAGCATCCCCCCAGGCCGCAGCCCATTTCTGCGTGTGTCAAAATGCTTCATTGTACCCTGCCCGCCCTCGTCCCCGGGGCCCAGCACCTCGCTCGCACGCTGCAGGTCCGCGCCAAGCCCCGGGCGAACGCCCGCGCCGGCAAGGGCTCGTCCTTGCGCTCTTTGCGAGCGCCGACGCGAATCCCCAGGCCCCCGCCGCCAGCATACAGCAAACCCTGCCTCTGAATCCACGCAGTTCAAGGAAAACCACATGGGACAAGGGCTGGAATATTTTTTACATCCTGGCAGGTGCAATGGGGAAGGAACGTGCATCGGTTTGCACGGCACCAGCAACAGGCCAGGGGAGGCTGGCAGCCGATTCGGATGTGTTTTTTGCTGGAAGTCGGTGCAACTGTCTCACCGCAAAGGGTAAATACTCCTGCAGGGGCTACTTTGGATCGGGGCAGCATAAAGCAACTTCAGGCTCTGGGATGGGCTTCCCACGGCCTCCTCCTGAGCTTGTGCCGCTCCACCGCTGCGCCTCCTAAGAGAGCACCAGGTTCAGGCCAACCTGGCAGCAGAGTTCAGTCAAGCCAGATTTACTTGGGGGTGAAAAAAAAACCCTGAAAGCAAAGGGCTTGAACCTGTTCCAGTAAGTGCTTGGGCATGGTGGGCTCTCCCAAAACCTCTCTTGGGCTCAGGCGTCGATCTGAGAGGAGGGACCATGGCATAAGCTTCCTCGTATCCATGAAACACAGCCCTTCGCTATGTGGAGTCGGAAGTCCTGTCCCCTCTGGGGCACCCTGCTTCTCCCACACCTTCAAGATGTCGAATCACACATGCAACTATGGGTGCCAGCTGCGTCCCAAGCAGGAGAGCACCCTGCGCGAGAGCCTCTGGGACCCGCAGACCCCGCGTCTTCCCCGCGGCTGGGCAAGAAACCATCAAGAAACCATGCCGAACACTATCTCCATGAAGATTTTGGTAACTTGGATTTGTGGGGGCTTGCGTAAAACGGCCATCGGGCCAAAACCAGCAGCTCTGCCCGGTCCCAGCTGGGGCACGGCTCAGCGCGCAGATGTTCAGGGAGTCAGCGCTCCCCGGCCGCCGTCCTGCCCAGGCTGGCAGCGAGACCGGGGCTGGCTGCCGGCCGAACCCCCGCAGGGCCTTTGGGCGGCGCGGA